ATTCCAAAAGCTTTATCAGTTACAGGTATCTCAAGATTGAATACCCGTAACACATCAAATATCGTTTTGTGATTTTTTGACGTTTTGAAAGTTTGCAGTTTTGATACATACACATTTGGCTCTTCCTAGGTCTGTAATTTCAGGCGCCGCTATTGTAGATAGTTAAAGGTCTTTGGTTTCAAACAGAATTATTGGTATTTTGAAGGTTCAAGTTCTTTATTATGTCTGTACTTGAGATCTTAACGGTCTTGCACTGTAAGAACGCCATGAGTGAAAGTTAAGGTCACTTACAGTCTCAAATAGTCAGACCTTGAAAGTGAACCATTCTAAGACTTCAAGTATCGATATTGAACAAACATGACCCTTAACTCTTCAAATGCCGCTATTTGACCTTTAGATCTGTCTTGAAATTTGGCAAAAAAACTGGAAACCTGGAGCTATAACATGTCGTTTTTAAGGAATTTTAATTTAAAGGTATTGATTGTTGTTAGAGACAGTCAGTGTTTGACATGTTTTCCCCTTTTGAGATTTTGAGGGGCTTCATATTGAAGAAGATATCGGTACCAAAGATTTCAGTGATCGGAGTTTGCAAGGCAATTGCATTTAACACTTTAAAAGTGTCAGACTAGAGATGCCGATGTTGTAGAAATTAAAATCCGTCGATGTCAAGCTATCGTCAATATTTGACCTTTTCAATCAAGTCTGGAATATGAAGCTACCGGTTCTGACTTAAGAGGGTCTGATTCTTGGGACATGCGTTGATTTGCCTCTTCCTGTGCAGCGATGAATAAACGCACTTGGGTTCATACACTTTGTAACGGTAAGGTGCTGACTCAGAAACAGCAATCTCCCGGGGTCCCGGAGGGTTGGAAACATCATTTCTCAGCTCAAATTAATTTAATAATGTTGATGTTGTCATATTATTCTAATATGATTTTGATTCTAACACATGTCATATTTGCTTAGGTAAATTCAATTTGTCATATTATTAAATATTTGTCCCATTGTTTAATAATGATGATTGAAACACATGTTATATTTACTTAGCTAAATTAAAGTTGTCATCTTATTCTATTTTTGCCCCATTCTGTTTATTTAATTTAATAATCATCCGATATTTCTAACACATGTCATATTTACTTAGCTAAATTAAATAATTGCAAAATTTTACTTAATTGATAAGTTTGACTTATTCACAATTTCCAATCCACAGCAATAACCTTTCATTTTTTTTGCTCATAACCCTTTTGCTAAGACCCTTCAAACACTTAATTTTTCTTTTTTTTCTCTTTTTTCCTCTTTTTTTCTTATTTTTTCTCTTCTTTATTTTTGTGCAACAGTAAAGAAACCACTCCTGGCTTAACCCCCCCTGGCTTGACCCCCTCTTTATTTTGCTGACAGAACTTGTCATCACACACTTTGCGTGGCAGGCGTGGCACTTGGCGACATCCACCTTCACTTTGCGCGGCAGGCGTGGCACTTGGTGACATCCACCGTCACTTTGCGTGGCAGGCGTGGCGCTTGGTGACATCCACCGTCACTTTGCGTGGCAGGCGTGGCACTTATGGCACTGGTCTGGCTCTGGTGGTGCGCTTGGTTTTAGGTGTGACGCCGTGGCGCTGCGGCGTTTTGCGTGGCAGGCGTGGCGCTTGGCGAGGTGCACCTTCACTTTGCGTGGCAGGCGTGGCACTTGGTGACATCCACCGTCACTTTGCGTGGCAGGCGTGGCACTTATGGCATTGGGCTGGCTCTGGTGGCGCGCTTGGTTTTAGGTGTGACGCCGTGGCGCCGCGGCGTTTTGGTGGCAGGCGTGGCACTTGGCGACATCCACCTTCACTTTGCGTGGCAGGCGTGGCGCTTGGTGACATCCACCGTCACTTTGCGTGGCAGGCGTGGCACTTATGGCACTGGTCTGGCTCTGGTGGCGCGCTTGGTTTTAGGTGTGACGCCGTGGCGCTGCGGCGTTTTGCGTGGCAGGCGTGGCGCTTGGCGAGGTGCACCTTCACTTTGCGTGGTAGGCGTGGCGCTTGGTGACATCCACCGTCACTTTGCGTGGCAGGCGTGGCACTTATGGCATTGGGCTGGCTCTAGTGGCGCGCTGGGTTTTAGGTGTGACGCCGTGGCGCCGCGGCGTTTTGCGTGGCAGGCGTGGCACTTGGCGACATGCACCTTCACTTTGCGTGGCAGGCGTGGCACTTATGACTTATGGCACTGGTCTGGCTCTGGCGGCGCGCTTGGTTTTAGGTGTGACGCCGTGGCGCCGCGGTGTTTTGCGTGGCAGGCGTGGCACTTGGCGACATCCACCTTCACTTTGCGTGGCAGGCGTGGCGCTTGGTGACATCCACCGTCTGGCACGCATGGCATTGGTCTGGCTCTGGTGGCGCGCTTGGTTTTAGGTGTGACGCCGTGGCGCCGCGGCGTTTTGCGTGGCAGGCGTGGCACTTGGCGACATCGACCTTCACTTTGCGTGGCAGGCGTGGCACATCGACCTTCACTTTGCGTGGCAGGCGTGCGAAGATCTAGCGCCTGACGCGGCCATGTGATCGACAGAAAAAAAGATCACGTTCATGACAGATCAAAACACTTTCTGTGCAATCGGTTGCCGCTGTTCTTGTGTTGCCTGCTTTCAGTGGGAGCTACATTACTGCACTTGCCGCAGTCGCTTGGCAGGTCCAGCACGCTGCGATGTCGTCATCTTTGCTAGTGCTGTTGCAGCTGATGGTGCTCACGTATCTGTTATCAATCTGTGCTTCTGAAAGAAATATCTTCATGACAGCCGAAGTTTTCTGTTGTTCTGCCAGGTACCGACTTCATCTCCGTCTTCATCGCGCCCATGCCGCCGCTCCGCTCGTGGAAAAAATAAGCGTGCCTGCGGACCTACCATACAAACATACATAAATACACACACATATATATATGCATCCATACATCCATCCATACATCCATCCATACATTCATACATGCATCCATACATACATACATACATACATACATGCATACAACACAACTTGTCCATACGCAACTTACTCGTACTTACTCTTCCACACACAACTTGCTCCACGCCAATCCTTCACCATCTCTTTTCCCTTTCCTGCTTTCCACATGCCATCTTTACCTTTCTTGTGCTGCTTGTTGGAAGAAGTTGACATGTGGGGTTATCCGGTCCTTTAATTTTCAAGTTTTCAAGGGTGGGGCCATTCGGGCTGGTATTTTCCGTCCAAGCAGCTACTTGCGGCCACTTGCGGCCACTTGCCCTAGCGGCCACTTGCGGCCACTTGCGGCCACTCGAGTGGCTGCAAGTGGCTGCAAGTGGCTGCAAGTGGCTGCAAGTGGCTGCTTTTTTAAGTTTCACATTCTGCGGGTTTTGCAACCTCAATGGAAATTATCGATTATTAAAAAACAATTCCGGCTCTTATCTTAATTTTATCTCCGCCGGCCCCGGCAGACGCAAGGGGGAGCGTGCCAGGGAATAAAAGTTCCAACACAAACACCAACACCAACACCACACTCATGACAACCATAGCAACCAACACCACAACAACAACAACAGCAACAACAACAACAACAACAACAACAAGGTACAAACAAACACTGGGACCCCGTTCTCTCTATATATCTCTTTTTGTCTGTACCCTTAAAGGTACAAACAAACACTGGGACCCTGTCGTACCAACAACAGCAACAACAACAGCAGCAACAACAACAACAACAACAACCTTTTCGTCCTTCTTGACCCAAACCACAGAGCTACTACTACTACTACTGCTGCTGCTGCTGCTACTACTTCTATACTACGACTACTACTACTGCTACTACTTCTACTACTACTACTACTCCTCCTCCTGCTGCTGCTGCTACTGCTGCTGCCACCGCGACTACTACTACTACTACTACTACAACAACAACTACTACTACTACTACCACCGCTGATACTACTACTACTACTACTTCTACTACTTCTACTACTTCTACTACTTCTACTACTTCTACTGCTACCACTACTAATACTGCTACCACTACCCACTACCCACTACTACTACTACTACTGCTACTACTGCTACTACTGCTACTACCACTACTACTACTACTACTACTCCTACTCCTACTCCTACTACTCCTGCTGCTACTACTACTACTACTACGACGACTACGACTACTACTACTACTACTGCTGCTGCTACTGCTACTGCTACTGCTAGTGCTGCTGCTGCTACTACTACTACTCCTGCTGCTACTACTACTCCTGCTGCTACTACTACTACTACGAGGACGACTACGACGACGACGACTACTACTACTACTCCTACTACTGCTACTGCTACTACTACTACTACTACTAATAACATTAACAACTACCTACTACCTACTACCCACTACCTACTACTACATTCATTCATAACCCGCATTCTTCGTTCTATAGTCGGTACTTACACTCCACCCTCTACGCTCCTCACTGTACACTCTACCCTTCACACTCTACATTCTGCGTCCTAACGCTCGCCACTTCCCGCCCTGCCCTTCATACTCTATACTTTGCATTCTTTATTCCATGCGTCACATTTTACTTTCTGCACTTCACGCTACTGTCTATAGATTTCACTCTCCACACGCTACGCTTCTCAATCTACACCCCCCACTCTACACACTACGCTTGACGCCTCGCGCTCTCAGTCTGCAACGCACATTCTGCACTATACTACTGCTGCTGATGCTGCTGCTGCTGCTGCTGCTGGTGGTTTGTGGTTGTTGTGGTTGTTGTGGTTGTTGTGGTTGTTGTGGCTGCTGTGTTTGTTGTTGTTATTGTTGTGGTCGTTGTTGCTTTTCATTGTTGTTGTTGTTGTGGTTGTGGTTGTCGTCGTCGTCGTCGGGGTCCCTGGTATCCTTGCTATCCTTTCTGTCGTGGTTGTCTTTGTTGTTCTTGCAAATTGTTGCCTGTGTATTGTCAAATAGATAGTGCCATGCCTTGCAAGTATATTTTAATGATAAACAAGCAAACATGTACTCAGCAAAAGCTGCTCGGATCGCGCGACTTCGCTAGTGCCACTGCATGGTCAACCTTCAAAAGGCCTCTTTGGCCTTCATACCCAGAAGCAAACTAGCCGCTGTTCAATTTTGCAAGGCAACATCTGTAGAAACGTAAAGCAGAAAACACATAAGACGCTTTTCAACTTGTTTCAATGTGTTGTCATGCGCCGACTGTCTGCTTCCAGCGCTTCTGGCAGCTGAATTCTCGATTCGCCTGGACAGCGCAAGTCCAGACTGTGCTGTCATCATCTGCAGATTCCCTTCTGACTAACGAAACGGAAATGAAACTTTCAGCTAACTGAAAACGATATGTGATATGTCCATAGAGTCCATCTCCTTTATACTCCTTGTGAACCTTGTCAGTTATTGTCCGGTTCTTTATGGGTAGATTTCCGCGCCTTCAGCGTGGTGCATCAGCGATGGCTTCGCCAGCCGCTGGGCCCTGCCACGGAGAAGTGACGTCTCAGCACCGCCAAGGTCAAATCTAAGAGGAAATTGAAGACATTTGTCAAGTTTTTGTCATTTATCAGATCTATCAGCCGATGTCAACAGCAGGGAGTGGTGTCAGTTGTGCTCTTGCTCAGGTGCCTCCAAAGCCGGAGTTTCTTCATAGTGCCTCAGCATAGCCGCAGCATTGCTACAGCACGATTCCGCAAGGGCCTCTCACGCCTATGTCAGTGAAGTATTGCCGCTCTTATATGTTGAAAGAAAATTTCACCCGCAGTTTTGAATCCTGTAGCGCTGACGTGCAGCCATCTTGCTAGCAACAGACTTTTGTCATCTTTTGTCTTCTTGACCTTCTAGTTTTCCAATGTTTTCGTTATCTTGGCCTTTGTTCTCATCCAAAGGCCAAGACGTCTCCAAGCCGAACATGGGTTCTGCTGGCTCCAATTGACCTGTCTGGACATGAATGTCTTTCAATGACATCAGCAATTTCACAACAGCCTGACATGGAAACACCATGAAATTCCCAGAGAGAAGCCAAGGGGAGCAAAGGGAAAGGGGCAAGCAACAGTATGAAAAGATATGAAAAGAACTTCAGTATTTCTCAGATTATTTCTCTATATTTCTTCGCAAAAACTCTCCATCTGAGTTCTGAGCGCGACAATGCTTCCAGCTTGCGCTGTCGTGGCCTGGTTTGTAGCTGACAAAGGGGCCACAAAGGCTCCGAACAAAGCTAGGATTTAGCCGGAAACGCCCACAGCAGTCTCTGAGTCAGTGTAAGTCCGGCACTCAACGTTGGCCATGTCCACACGTCGTTCTGCAACCCAAGTCTTGAGCTCTTCTCCAGTCTTGGATTGCAAGGACATAAGTTGACATAAGCTCCAAAAACACCCCCGGAACGCAATCACCTGGATGGCCATTCACGTTTCTGCAGGCTGAGTCTAGGTGCACCACAATGTCCAGAACTTGGCACGTCTCTTGCACTGACGCTTGAAACTCCTGACTTTGAATCTCTGAGCAGTGAAAATCACAAAATGTCAGAAGCAGAAACAGCATATGAACCAACAGCGCAATTACCATTTCCAGCATTCGATGTTGCTTGATGCCCTGCCGTGTATTGCCGTGTTATCCCTAACCCAAGATAAGGGTTTGGGAAGCTGCACGTGTGGTGGAACCACGCCTCAAAAAGTCGCATCACCGGCATCTCTTGATCGGGACTGTTGCTGGTAGCAGCCTGCGACAAGATGTGGGCTGGACATTGCCGACTCAAAGTGCGCTCAAACTTTCCAGACAGATCCAGACAGTGGCAAATCTCGGACAAAGCCTGTTCGTTTGCGTTGTGATCCTGGCGTTTTCTCTGAGGCTCCGACTGCGCATTTTCTCATAATTCGAGCTGTAGTTGCAGAGTCAACCCCAAACTTGTAAAAATCTTCCTCAGAACGACCGAAACGAAAGATTCGCTACGCGTGTAGATTCTCTGAGCCACTACGTGGGTACATCCACTTGACCAGGCTGAGCACGAAGCCTTCTTCACAGTTGCCCAGCCAGGTGGTACTGACTCTTGTCCGTGGTCTGTGACAGCGTAATGCTTCGCGATAGACTCCACTGTAGGTTGCGCAAACCGTGATACTGCACGACCGCGCCTAACCCTTATATTTTATACCATATACCTCGGCAGACCTTTACAGTGGAAATTCGTTACCGTTACAACAATCCTTGTCTAACCTGTGCGACTGGGTTAACACCATCAGCAGAACTGACACTAACCGTCGCACAGCTAGGTGTTTGCTGCCCTGGAAATCCAAATTGTTTGACATCCAAACTGTATGACACCACTCCTTGCCTCTTTTCTTCATTCCTTCCTTCCTTCCTTCCTCCCTCCCTTCCTTCCTTCCTTCCTCATTCTAGTCCTGAACCTGAAAAAACATTTCTGATCCTGTGGGATTCTTTTAGTTTCCTTTCTTTTCCTTTGGCTTTACGGCCAACAGACCAAGGTCCACATCCGGGAGAGCTTGGAGCAATTATGCCAAGAAAACATAATTATGATGGAAAAAAAGGACATTCTGCTGAAGACTCCACTAGTTTCGTCCGGAATGTTGTAAACTTTTCCGGGGATATCTCAAGACGATGCTTATGGCCATCGACAAGAAGCGCAAATGTTGCAAATAGCATGCAAATGAACAACGAAAGGCTCAGAAATGGTGCAAATTGCATGGCAATTTTTAGCGTCATATACAGCCATTGACAGCTGGACTTTACACTTTTGAGAAATAAATGGCCTTACATTGGCTGTGCGCGCTGCAATACATGGCACCTATGCCCAGAACACCGTCCCTTGAGGGAGTTTAAGGGTCACTGACGACAACTTTACGGGCTTTGGAGCACAACTTCAAGGGAACTTTACGGCAAACTTTACGGCAAACTTTACGGCAAACTCTAAGAAGTTCTAAGTCCTTGAGGTTAGAAGATTCGCTTGTAAGGGTTAGAAGCGGGTCTCCGTGATACTGCCACACTGCACATCTAAGCCGGTGCTTTCGAGCCTTCTGACTGAAAGTACTGAATCAAGGCATCCTAAAAGCGTCCGACGACGTTGCAGACCGAGGTGACATCACTGTGTTCGATGCATGCCCTATATGATCACTGTATGATCACTATATGATCACTATATGATCACTATCTCATTGTCACAAGTGGAGGCGTCACCAGGTGTGGGACGTACGGGATACTTCTGATGCGCTTTGTTTCGGGCCTTACAGATGCAAAAAAAGAAAACCTGTGATTGGAAATGAAGAGACCAGCGTAGAGCAGACAATTCAACATCCCAAACTCGGTTCAAGAGTAGCCAACGTGGAAGATGTTCTGGGGTGGTCTAGGCAGCTCTGCAAACTCTGAAACACCACTAGACTCACTAGACAAGCACCAAAGAATCTCAAAGCATTTCAACATATCTCAATCCGAAAAAAAAATCAAAAAACATAAAATATCTTTGAAAACTCAAATGATTCGGCTCTTTGGACACCAAGGCGCTTCAGCACAGGCAGCGCTCGCAAGATCTTGCTTTTGGGTCCGGCCCTCCAAGGCTCTGAGCTCTCATGCCACAAGAAGCTGAAGGATACCAAGGACATGCGTAACATTTCTTGGCAATTTTGAACGGAATTGTGTGAGAAAGAGCCCGACAGAAACAAAGGAAAATGCCATGAAAGAGAAAAAACTTGAACGAGACCAAATAATCAAGAAAGTTTTTCCGTTCAATTAAAGCAACAGCTGCCACAACCGAGAGACAACTACTATGACATCTCTGACATGTCTCATCTTTTATCGCGTGATTCGCGTGATGTCATGATTTGCCGCCTCCCTCTATTACCGCGCCTTGACCGCATGAAGCGCAACAAACTCCGCACATCATAGCTCCGCTGACAACACAGGAGCCAATGCACATCAGCACATTTTCTCAAAACTATTTCCATAGGAACTCAAGTGTGAAATTTATGATTGATGAATTGAGCTTCACTTGAGCTTCATGAACACAATTCCAAAAGGATTCAAAAACGATTGATCATGACCTGAAACAAGAACGGTTCAAAATAACTACACTACATAACATGAGGCAAAATGAGCACTTCTACAAAGAAAGTGTCTGCAAGCTGGCTTAGAAAATCAAAGCCCACCTTCCACACGAAGTCCTCAAACATCAGAAAGCATTGGTGAGGCAAGGTCAGCTGCGCTCGCCTCGTGGAACCAAATTTTCAACAGCGTCGCAACGTCGGGGTGTTGAGGCTGTGACCCTCTCTTCTTGCGAACCTGTCGCACGATAAAATTGGACGAATGGGGGATGTTGCTTCAAAATTGAGAGTCGCAAACATTCCCTTGCCTCGCGGTGGTGCGCAATGAGAATGGCTGTGACCCTTGGTTTTGCAATGTCATTGTCAATATGCCAATATGCAAGCCCAAAAAGACCCAAAAAGTGCGATGTTTTTGGAAAAATGTGGCATAACGGGAGATCTTGGGATCGGAGGCGCAATGCCACAAGGTCGAGGCATGCTCATCAGCATGACGATGATACAAATCACGTAGCTCAGGCCCCAAATCTCAGTGGAAAGGCAATAGAGGCGTAACATGGCAGGACATGGCGTGACCGCGTGACCGAACGCAGTGCAATCTGATTGCAATCACCATGCTTGTATTTGTTTGTAAGATTATAAGATGCAACGTCTGTGCAGTACGTGGTTTTCAGACTCGGGAGGCTGCCAGAGTTGATACGGGAGCAATCAAGTACCTGTCAAGTGGTCAGCCCCCATACCGTCGGCAAATCTTAATGGCATTTCTTCTCTTCTCTGAGCCCTGTTCAAACCGGATGGAAAAAGTATGAACAAGTCCTGCATACCTTATGTGGTACTAAGGAAAACACAGGAAAACAAAGGATCATTGAACGCGGATGCTGGGCAGAGATTCAACAACACTTCCGCCATAGAAAAAAAAAGACTGCTGGTGGCTGGTGGTACATGGTGTTTCGGAAAATAGTGCGTGTTTGGAACTGTTGAGGCACATTGCGCCGATGTCTCCCTGGCCAAAGAGGATCATGATCCTTGGAAGCGATTCTTTCAATGGGAAGCATGAGAAAATGAGGGGAAAACAATCAAATAATCCATACCTTGGTTAAACAAATCGTTGAAACACAACATTACAGGAACGTTGGCTGCTCTCAACAAACATGCTCTTTTGCGTCCCTGTGAGAATTCATCTGCTCACACGGACTCCCTGTATTTTTTGTTGACAAAAAATGGCAGCCCACCTTGAACTACTGAAATGGCACATCAAAAGAATCACTACCTAGGATGCCTGGGGGTCTGATGCCCTCTAAAAAATCAGGACACAGGTAACCAACTACAAGAAACACAAAAAATGCAAATACAAAAACAATTCTTTAAAGAATTGGGGGTCCGTGTTAGCCACAAGCAGCACCTTGCAGCGGCACCAGCAGGCCAGCTTGAAAGCGCACATGCCACTCTGACAGTGAACTTGTATGCTGTTAGGGTCCGGCAAGCAAGCTCGCTGTGGTGTGTGTCTATATTATGTGTATGGAGGAGGGGTGGTGCACGGTACCTGGGCATGTAGGTGGGCGGGGTGCTTAGAGCTTTGAATTGTTAAAATCTAGAGATGCTCACGTGTCACGGGGAAAACAGTATTGAACTTGTCGACCTTGTACATGGTACTTCCAACACTTCAGAGGTCCCATGCTTAAAGCCCCTGTGGATGCTTCAAGCTTTTCCGTCCTTATTTTAAGGCATTGCCAGGCCTGGTGCAATTCTACGTGAGAGGGGGATCACGAAAGGTAGGTGATCAAGAAGGGGAAGCAAAGCCTCTCCGTATAAAATCTTGCTGTGTGTAAAAGCGTGCTGTGTGCAGAAGCTTCTGTGTGTAAAAAAATCTGTGTAAAGGCATCTGTGGGCAAAAGGGTCTGTGTAAAAACTGCTGTGCATAAAGGCTTCTGTGCCGAACTTCTGTGCAGAAAAACATCAGTGTGTAAAAGCGTTTCTGCATGTAAAAGTTTCGGTGTGTAAAAACTTCTTTGTGCAGTCTGTGTCAACAAATTTTTCGTGTCAAAGTTTTCCTGTCTAGAAGTTCCTTTGTGTAAAACATTGTTCTGTGCAAAGGTTTCTCTGTGTAAAAGGTTCTGTGTGTAGAAGCGCCTGTGTGCCTTTATTTATGCGTATAAATGCATCTTTGTGCAAAGCATCGGTGTATAAAAACTTCTGTGGGTAAAACTTCTTTGCGTAAAAACCTCTGTGTGCAAAGGCGTCTGCGTATAAAAGTTTATCTGTGCACAAACATCTCTGTGCAAGAGTATCTGCGCATAACAGCTGCTCTGTGTAAAGGTTTCTGTGCGTAACGTCGTCTGTTTGTAGAAGCGTATCGGTGCAAATGCGTCACCACAGTAAAATCGCAAAAAACAATGAAACAAAAAAATCCAAACTCAAATGCTTGCTGTCGTTACGTTGTTGATGATGTCGGTGATGCGCGCAGGGCCCCAGAAGGGGTCATGTTGGCTGTATTAAGCCAATTCATAAAAAGCCTTCGGGACAAAAAACACCGCAAATTTCCTGGCTTTTGGCGCCTCGCAGGCCATAAACCAGGGTACTGTTACTGTTGTTGTTGTTGTTGCTTGTTGTTGTTGTTGTTGTTGTTGTTACCCCTGCAGCTTTTTTCTCAGTCTCGTAGTGGTTGAAATTGTCAAATAGGCGGTGTTTGCGTGTTTTTTGAAACTCTCGAAGCAAAAAACACCGTAAACGCAATTTTTTTTTGCGCATCGGAAGCGCAAAACCACGGTATTTACGATGTCTTTTGCTCCTGGTAGCAAAAAACACAGTATTTACAGTGTTTTTGGACAGCACCGAGCAAAACACTGGTATTTGCGAAGTTTTCGGCATGTTGCAAGAAGTGATTTTTCCATGCAGAAGTCACAAAACCCATGTAAATTATACTTTTTTGGGTTTGATTTTAAGGTTTTGCGACCGGGTGGGGTGGGGGGAGGGTCCTGAAATGAACAGCAATCGCCTGAATAATCAGGTAACTGGGCTGACAGCCCCTTTACTTCGTACAGCTAAATTCAAGGTAGCACCACTGGAGCTACCTTTCGTGATTTGCTGAAACTTTAACCGGCATGAATATGTTGGCCATCAAAACTTAAGGCAGTCCTGGATGCAGTCATAAAGTTTGAAAAGGTTTAGCTTTCACTGTTCCAACGATCAACAGTGCCAGTCATACTTTTCTACAAAGTAATTGGCAAAAGCGGTAGAAGTGACATATTCGCTGTGCAGCACATCTTCAATTCTCCACTCAGATTCTGGCGTCGTCATCAGAGCATTCTCCAAGGATGACCTCAAAAGCCAGATTTTCTTGCGCGGAGCTCGGCAACACCTTTTAGGGAAAGATGGTGGAAACAAAGAAACAAAATAAATGTGGTCCAGCTCGGGTTTCCATGCCATGCTTCAAGCTCTGGGCCAAAAAGGAGATGGCCTAGCCACCCAGCCAGGTGATATTTCCCACCAGAAAAGGTGCAGGAGCTGTAAAACAGTCTGATAACTAAACAAATATGAGCGCATCAAATCCTTTTTGATGCACTTATATAATCGATGAACTCTTTTGTGATCTATCTATATACCTCATCCAATCTATGAACATCTTATCCTGCCAAGCGAAACCTGAGCTATCAAAACAACCCTGACCTACTTTAATCCACCTGATCTAATTACTGCGGTTGATGCCGCCTCATCAATTTAGTTCATCTGATCTTACTGAATCCGTTTGTTTCATTCTGTTTCCAAATGTCTTATTGAGGCACTGTGCCTACGGGCCAATTAACGAGCAGCAAACAAACAATGCGTGGATCAACCGATCAATCAGTGTATCAATTCACACATCTAGCAGTTCATCAAACGCTCGATTCATCGATTCTATCCAGCTTGGCAGCAAGAGGGAAGAACGCAAGGTAGGTACTTGTGAGATTAGGTGATCAAAGGGAAACTGACTGCAGAGCGAACATTCCTTCTGGGTTGGTTCTTGCTAGAAGCCGCTCATCAGAGATGATCATGATGGTGATGATGATGATGATGATGATGATGATGGTGATGGTGATGGTGATGATGATGATGATGATGATGATGATGATGATGATGATGGCGATGATGATAATAATGGTGATGATGATGATGATGATGGTGATGATGATGATGGTGATGATGATGATGGTGATGGTGATGCGGCTGCTGCTGCTGATGATGATGGTGATGATGATGATGATGATGATGGTGATGGTGATGGTGATGGTGATGGTGATGCTGCTGCTGATGATGATGATGATGATGATGATGGTGATGGTGATGATGATGATGATGATGATGGTGATGATGATGATGATGATGATGCTGAAAGTGACGGTGATGATGATGATGGTGATGATGATGATGATGGTGATGATGATGATGATGGTGATGCTGCTGCTGATGATGATGGTGGTGATGATGATGGTGATGATGATGATGGTGATGATGATAATGGTGATGATGATGATGATGATGATGATGATGATGATGATGATGACGGTGATGATGATGATGGTGATGATGATGATGGTGATGGTGATGCGGCTGCTGCTGCTGATGATGATGGTGATGATGATGATGACGATGATGATGGTGATGACGATGATGATGGTGATGATGATGATGGTGATGATGATGATGATGAGGAGGAGGAGGAGGGGGAGGAGGATGAGAATCAAAATGAGGATGAAAGGATGAACATGATAAATGAACAGGATGGACAAAATGAAAATGATGAACAGGGTGAAAAGCATGACACGCATGACACACATGACAAACATGAAAACCATGAAAAACATGAAAAGGATGACACGGATGAAACACATGAAAAGGATGACACGGATGAAAAACATGAACAGGATGAGAAGGATGAAAAGGATGAACAGGATGAAAAAGATGAGAGGGATAAAGAAGGATGAAAGGGATGAGCCTGGGCAACATTGATTGGGACGATAACTTACATTGTGAGGATGCAGGATAGTGGATGAAGATATGGCTGGAAAGGATGAAAATTAGGAGGCCATGCTGTTTTATAACATGACGAAAAAAACATGCCGCCCCCATAAAACCACGCAGGGGCAGCAAGAAAACAGTCAACAATTCAACTCTCTGTGAATTAGTTGCAGCAAGACCGGGAATTGAAACCACGACCATGTAAGGCCTCTCCGGAATGAAGAATCCATTCATGCTGAAGCACGGCAAACTCAGGTCAGACTACTGTCCATTTCAGGTCCCTAATCTAGAGGTACTGTACCACATAAAGCCATAAAGCCATATATATATATATATATATATATACACATATATTTTTTGGGGGTGCCCCTTACATAGCCCTTACATAGACCTTATATATGGTAGGTACCCCCTTTTGAAATGGCCACTAAGGCGGCTACGTTTCCTGACTATCCCTAACATAACCAATCCAAATCCTATCCAATCTATCCATTCAGCCCCACCAGGACAATGTGGCAATGTGGCACAGTCCGAAAAATCCCAATGCGACCCATTCAGCAACTGAATACAGTGACTACAGTGACTACAGCTATGCACCAATTGTTTGCGGCTCCTTCCTGGAGCTATGCGTTGTCACATTGTCGAACTGGTCTAAGTGGTCTAACTCAAATGTAGAAACTGCACCTCCAAGGATGAGATTGAACAGTGCAATGGTCACCTTGGCTTTGCGGGCCAGGTTTGGACTGCTTGAGATCAAGTCGATCGAATGTAACTTCTCATCTCTGTACGGGCTCAATGTGTCTCTTTAGGCTGATTTTGAAAGAAACGCACTGATACCTTCCATTACCCCTCCAGAAGCCTGCAGTAATTGTGCCAAGATGTGCCAAGTAGCCATGAAGCCTACATGCCCAATATCCGCAGCCTAAGCACGGACACACATAAGTCAAGAATAGTCAAGACTATTACTGCTCATTTCATTCATTTCTCAAGAGCCATCTCGTTGTCTGGAAACGCGTTGTCTCTGTGACTTTTTAGGCCTGCACATTCAAATTTTGCTCACACATACACACCTTTCTTTGAGCCGCTACGGATCAGGCAGCTCTGCCAATGGTGCGCCCAATTGTCGCAATGCGTGGCCTTGCAAGAAACGGTGCCAAATTGACATTGTCTGCATTGAAATCTTGTTCCCATTGAGCCCTGAATCTACAATGACCAGACTGCGGCAACATGTGATACATTGGTTAAGGCAACGGCTGCCCAGCGAATCCACGGAAGAAACGAAGGAGAATCAACCTCGCGCGCGCTTGCCATAAAAGGATTCTTTTTTCAGATAGGGCCAGTGTTTCCTGCTATAGATATTGAAAGCCTATTGGCGCTTTGGCAACCCGAGTCCACCTCCTACATAAACAGCAAAAATCGTCCCATCCATCAAACACCAGCTTTGATCATTTTGGATGGGGCAGTCCACAAAAACATGCAACCCAATATGCTTGAGGCCGGGACCCGACATACCAAAACATCCCTAGCCTTTGCATAACAAGGTGCCATGCATCAAGTGCGCGTGCAATGCATGTGCAGTACGTGTGCAGCGCGGGTGCAGTGCGGGTGCAATGGGCGCGCAAGCCCGGTGAAGCTGAGATGAAGGTCCAATTTGATATTCGATAAGGAAAGGCGGGGGGGGCAGAACTAGGTAAACTTGGCGGCAACAAAATCAAGCAACACCTAAGAACAATTTGAATATCTCTAGATAAGGCAACCAACCTGTATGCAAATGTATTATATGTATTGGATTTCTTGCAGACCTCTTTGGTGGCACCCCTTGGGCATTGACCGATGGTACACCTTCAGGAACACCATCAACTCCAGATCTTCCTGGAATTGGGCCTCGCAATCTGAAGATCTTCCTCAATCTGCCTCAATCTGCTTCAATCTATCTCCCTCTGCATCTCTTTTCCTTGCTTTTCTTAGCTAATGCAAAAATGCCCCCCAAAAAACAAGCCACAAGCCTGCCAGCCCTCTTCAGAGATGGCCTGGCACGATCGACTCAAAGGAATGCAGAGGCAGATGAGGAGGCAGAACGACCAGATGAAATCCAGATGAATGAATTAATACCTGTAATACCGAACTATCCCCTCAGCAAAAATTACAAAGTCCCTGATCGCAGAATTGTCGAAATCAATAAGACAAACATCCGGGAAGTCCGCAAGCACCGAAGGTGCCGAGGCGTTTCTTGTGCGCACGCACGAACCGGAAGCAATTGCATGTGCTATTGAGCTTTAGCTTGGGGGAGCTATTTTTGCCCTAGGATCTTCTGTTTTTCCATGTCTTTGAAAAGGTCGTAAAATTGGCTAAGCTGCCAACGTAGATCCGGCACAGGTCCATGGGTCCAACATAGGCCCAACAAGATCATATATATGGGCCCAAGATGAGCCTAGCATGGTCCAACATAGCGCCAAGATAGGCAGGCTCAAATCTGCCCCCATTCAAATCAACATATATCTTTCAGTGCGAATATGGTTATATTATGTTATATTATGTTATATTACAGTATGTTATATTTTAAGCTGGTCGAAGGAAAAACACCACAGCCCAAAAAAGTGGAAATGTGTGCAATTTCTGTGCATGCGTGTCGTGTCATGTTCTCCCCGCCAAACCTAGATGGAACCTATGTTCAATGTTTATTGAGACAGTTAGGGTACCGTGCGTTGCTGGAACTCCCAAAGCAAGCTTTGGATTTTTTTTTTCAATCTTAGAGGTTTGTTTTGCAATGTTTCTATATGTTTCTGCTATTTTGGAAGGATTGGGGAGAGTCTCTTGAGCTTGCATTGATTGGGCCATGGAGGGGCTCATTTAGGGTCCAGATCAGTTTTGAAGTTGGGGGCTGATTTATTTTGTGTCGTTTGCATCAAAAAATGCAACAACAAAGCAAGAATCACGGTTTTGCTCACAAGGCAAGAAAAACACCAAACGTATCAAAAATAAGTCCAGCAGTGTCCCAGCATGGGCTACACGTCAAAACCTCCCAGCATGGAGTCCGAAATGGACACAAGTATAGCCTCAACTTAGTCTCAACATTCGCTAAACATTGCCCCAAACCCGACCAATGAGCCCAATATAGGCGAACAACAACCGGACAATAGGATTTCTGGGGGCGTCTTGGAACCGTGTCAAGTATATCTAGGATATCTAGAATATGTTTTATTTTTAGCTAGGCTTGACCAGGCTACAATGGTCTCACGAAGTTTAACAACACAATGTTACAGACAGAGCTTACATGTTCTACCCGATTCTACCCGATTCATCCCGATTCTACCCTGAGCAAATTCCGGCACGGGCAGTCGCGAAGCGACCAGAACATCGGTCGAATCGTCCCTTCTGCACAGCTTGCCTGATTCCGCGCCAATTCTTCCTGACAGTCGAAACCATACATATCTGGGCACTGCCTCAAGGAAAGTACAGCAAGCTAACCGTACTTTGTCAAGTCGAAAGGCATTTTACAAAGCCGGAGTTGAAGCGAAGTCGCATGCCACATGCCACAACAAAGTCGTGGATGGATTTCGAACCCAATTTACTTCAAGTTGTGGCACCGTCCTGGATTTCTGGAGCAATGGGCATCGTCGTGGTCGCCACATACTGAGGCAAGCGAGAATGAAGTAAACAAAAAAACGGAAGACGCTTGAACCACACGGATGTATAAGATACACCAAAGCCAAGGGCAAAGCAAATGGCTATAGCAAACGGCAAAAGCAACTGCTCTCAAAGAATTGCAAAAATCCTAATGACATCCAAATTGTAACAACAAAACAACAAAGCTAACACAAGGACGCTCAAAATCAAATCTAGGACCTCTAAATACCTCTAAATACCTCTAAATACCTCTAAATACCTCTAAATACCTCTAAGCCTCTACAGTAATCCTCTAAGATCCAGACCTCAGAGAGAGCCACCGGCAGCTCTGCCTGTAGAAACGGATGGTATGTTTTGCCCATTCCAATTTTGCCCACAGACCAACACTCTTGGCAAAATGGTATTTTGCCCTCACCATACTTTCCCCACTCAACACACTCTTCCGTCGCTACATACCCATAGAATTTAGTATAATATAGTTATGGTTCAAGCATAGTTACATCCTCTCGCTGACCTGCAAGATTCTCTAGTGAGGAACATGTTCTGAGAGCGACGCCACATGTTGATCTAGGCCTTCCATCCCAGCATTGTAGACCTGAACAAGTATTCAAACGCTTCACAGAATAACGGGTAAGACTTCACGGAGCATTCCGCAAATGCGGAACAACATCACCGAGATAGATACACATGAAACAACTCCGTTCAGGGGGAAACTCAAAATTTCAAACAAAGGGCTGTTTTTTTCCCTCTCTCCCTCTCTCTCCCTGGCCATGATAATAAATAATTACATAAAATACTACAAATATCATACTTCAAATACATATATCATATATATATATACACACGTATATATGATACATATTAACTTTGAAATGTCTGTGCATGTCTTCGGCAAACATGTGCGTTTGCAGAGATTGAGGTGCTTGCAAAAAAGAAGCCAATGAGCGTCAAACCCACCTCAGGATTGCATGCAAATACGCGACAAATGTGCGGTAGAGCGGCGCCTGTTGGCTAGGGTGTGGGTTGGATCGGAACCGTAAGGAGACTAAGGATCTATGCTGTCTATGCTCGGATCGGAGTTGGATCGGAATCTAATGGCCGGATCGGAATCGTGGACGCAACCCCGCGGCCATCCCAACCATCCCAACCGTCCCAATCAACTGCCCCAACAATCGACCAATCGACCAATCCGACCATCCCAAACGTCCCAAAATCGTCCCAAAATCGTCCCATGTCCCAACCACCCAATACCTCCAAGCTGGCTCAACATATGCCCAACATTGCCCAACAACGGAAACACAGGCATTCAGAACAAGCACCTAGACGAAGATGCCTGTTCTCACTCTTCAACCAAGGGTTGCAAAGCCTGAATTTGCCCCAAAAAATCAAGAAGCCCTCAAAAGCACCTCAACCTAGCTCGAATGTGCTGCATCCTGCCTTGAAAGTTGCCCAATATAGGCCCAAAAATAGGCTTCACACTGGCATCAACAAAGCTTTGAAAATTTGGCGTGGGATCCAGCAGTTGAGTTCAAGATTGAACATCTTGAAATTTCAGTTTGGGTAGGGCGTGCATACCCCTTGTCGTCACCATCCTACACCCTTGTAACATATTGTAACATCTTGTAACCATGCTGTTCATCCCGTCCATCCCAACTGCCCCAACCATTCCGGCACTATATTCAGCCCCCAAACAAGCCTTCAAGAAACCCCAAACACACCCCGAGCTAACCCAAAAGAACAAAAGAAACCCGAAGGAAACCCTAGGCTTAATCTAAACTCCCAAACAACCAAAAAAATGCCCTTAACAAACTGTAAGCATACCGCAAATTTAAACATACCCTCATAGCACAAACGACCCCTCATCATGCCCCACTTGTACCCTAAACAAGCCCCAAACAAAAACAAAACAAACCCTAAATATACCCAAGCCCTAAATATACCCAAGGCAAACCCTAAGCATATCCGAATCATACCCTAAACATATACCCCAGACAAACCTTTATCATGCCCTAATCGCAGCCTAAACACACCAAAAAGGTCCAAAAAGAACAACACTTAAACAGAGGCTGAGCACGGTCACCGCGTGATTTGGAAACTATAACAGCGGATTTGGAAACTATAACAGCGGATTTGGAAACTATGATTTGGAAACTATAACAGCGGATTTGGAAACTGGGAACAGCTGATTTGGAAACTATGATTTGGAAACTATGATTTGGAAACTATAACAGCGGATTTGGAAACTGAGAACAGCGGATTTGGAAACTATGATTTGGAAACTAAGACACGTGATTTGGAAACTATAACAGCGGATTTGGAAACTATGATTTGGAAACTATGAGGTATGATTTGGAAACTGGGAACAGCGGATTTGGAAAGTATGATTTGGAAACTAAGGCATGTGATTTGGAAACTATAACAACGCACGCAGCACATGAGTGCACGAGTGCGTCAGCAACACACTGGTCCATGTTGGTTATCGAAGGAAGTTTAGAAGTCAAACTTCCGACAATATGGACAGATGAAAAGCAGAGCAGGGAAGAGGCAGAGAGAAGAGAAAGATTAGAAGAGAGAAGCTCAGAAGAGAAAGAGTAAGAGGAAAGAAGATGCAGATGCGGAAAAAGGTAGGAAAGTCGCGATTCACTGTGTTTTTTCCAATGATTTGTGGCTCCGGAGTTTCGAAAAGTAGGCTCGCTAAAGCGGCGGGTGCGGAGCCAGCTGGCCAGATGAGTGATGAAAAGTTGCACGCCGTTGTGGCGCGAAGCACATTTCCAAGTCAAAATGCATAAAAGACACCAGGTCCGGACCACTTTTTGAGGTTGCGATGTCGAAAAAGGGTACGCCGTTATGGCGCGAAGCAGATTTTCAAGTGAAAATGCACAAAACACACCATTCTCGGACCACTTTTGGAAGTTGAGATGTCGAAAAAGTGTGCGCCGTTGTGGCGCGAAGCAGATTGTGAAGTCAAAATGCACAAAACACATCATTCTCGGACCACTTTTGGAAGTCGAGATGTCGAAAAAGTGTATGCCGCTGTGCCGCGAAGCAGATTTCGAAGTCACAATGTGTAAAACACCAGTGCACGTTTTGGACTGCTTTTGGAGGTTCAGACTATAGATGGACAGACAGACAGATAGATATAAATAGTCAAATAGTCAGAGAGACAGCTAGAGAAATAGATGGAGAGACAGACAGACAGATACATAGACACAGACAGATAGTGAGATACCAAGACAAATAGACAAAGAGAGAAAGAGAGACAGAAAGGCAGAAACACTCAACCACCACTGTGAAGTTGAGAATACTCTTGCATGTAAAGGTTTAGGGGGGGAAGTTTAAAAAATGACTTGGAATCGTGATAAGAAGTCTTGGAGAGGGGAGACTGTGAAGTTAAGAATACTCTTGCATGTAAGGTTTGGGGGGGAAGTTTTAAAAATGACTTGGAATCGTGACAAGAAGTCTTGGAGAGGGGAGACTGTGAAGCTGAGATTACTCTTGCATGTAAAGGTTTTAGGGGGGGGAAGTTTAAAAAATGACTTGGTATCGTGACAAGAAGTCTTGGAGAGGGGAGACTGTGAAGTTGAGATACTCTTGCATGTAAAGGTTTAGGGGGGGGAAGTTTAAAAAATGACTTGGAATCGTGACAAGAAGTCTTGGGAGGGGAGACTGTGAAGTTGAGAATACTCTTGCATGTAAGGTTTAGGGGGGGGAAGTTTAAAAAATGACTTGGAATCGTGACAAGAAGTCTTGGGGAGGGGAGACTGTGAAGCTGAGAATACTCTTGCATGTAAGGTTTAGGGGGGGAAGTTTAAAAAATGACTTGGAATCGTGACAAGAAGTCTTGGAGAGGGGAGACTGTGAAGTTGAGAATACTCTTGCATGTAAAGGTTTAGGGGGGGAAGTTTAAAAAATGACTTGGAATCGTGATAAGAAGTCTTGGAGAGGGGAGACTGTGAAGTTGAGAATACTCTTGCATGTAAGGTTTGGGGGGGGAAGTTTTAAAAATGACTTGGAATCGTGACAAGAAGTCTTGGAGAGGGGAGACTGTGAAGTTGAGAATACTTTTGCATGTAAGGTTTTAGGGGGGGAAGTTTAAAAAATGACTTCGTATCGTGACAAGAAGTCTTGGGGAGGGGTGACTGTGAAGTTGAGATTACTCTTGCATGTAAAGGTTTAGGGGGGGGAAGTTTAAAAAATGACTTGGAATCGTGACAAGAAGTCTTGGAGAGGGGAGACTGTGAAGTTGAGAATACTCTTGCATGTAAGGTTTAGGGGGGGGGAAGTTTAAAAAATGACTTGGAATCGTGACAAGAAGTCTTGGGGAGGGATGACTGTGAAGCTGAGAATACTCTTGCATGTAAGGTTTAGGGGGGGGAAGTTTAAAAAAGTACTTGGAATCGTGACAAGAAGTCTTGGAGAGGGGAGACTGTGAAGCTGAGAATACTCTTGCATGTAAGGTTTAGGGGGGGAAGTTTAAAAAATGACTTGGAATCGTGACAAGAAGTCTTGGAGAGGGGAGACTGTGAAGTTGAGAATACTCTTGCATGTAAAGGTTTAGGGGGGGGAATAGTTTCCTAATCGTAGTTTCCTAATCGCGCGGAATAGTTTCCTAATCGTAGTTTCCTAATCGCGCGGAATAGTTTCCTAATCGTAGTTTCTTAATCGCACGCAATAGGTTCCTAATCGTAGTTTCCTGATCGGCGGAATAGTTTCCTAATCGTAGTTTCCTAATCGCACGGCATAGTTTCCTAATCGTAGTTTCCCAATCGCGCGGAATAGTTTCCTAATCGTAGTGCCCCAATCGCGCAGAATAGTTTCCTAATCGTAGTTTCCTAATCGCACGCAATAGTTTCCTAATCGTAGTTTCTTAATCGCGCGCATTAGTTTCTAAATCGCGCGGAATAGTTTCCTAATCGTAGTTTCGTAATCGTAGTTTCTAAATCGCGTATAGTTTCCTAATCGTGCAATGTCCGGCTGAGCACACCCTACACACAAAACCTGAACAAACCCGAAACAATTCCCGAGGAAACCCGATAATCACCCTAAACAGAACCTAATGCTCTCCCACTCATGCCCTAAGCAAGCCCTGAAACATACCCAAAACATACCACAATCATTACCAAAGAACATACCCTAAACAAATCCTGATCATACCCCAATCATATTCTAAACAAGGCCTGAGCAAACCTTGAATGTACTTGACAAACCTGAAATCAACCCTCAACCGTGCCCTAAACTTGAGGTTGTATCAGCAGACTGGGTTTGCAGCAGCCTGCAGCTGAAGGGGTGTGGTGTACTGCGGTGAAAATAGCGAAGAGCAATTGAGCAGCAGAAACAAGGACCATGACGCAACTGCAGTCGTGTATGTCATGTCGGCAAGAAGGACCTGTCTACTCCGCAATCTGCATGACCAAAAAAACTCAAACCATCACAGGTGCGTTGCGGTCAGTTGTTGCTGACTCAGAACACTTTCATGGTAAATAAAATGAGCATCCACCAATTGCAGCATTAAGGCCCCAGATAAGACCAAAGCAAGGTTAATCTGGGTGAAGATGACGATGATGCGATGACGATGCGAATGAAGATGATGCTAAGGACTAAGTCAAACAGACTGCACTCATGCTCTCTCGAGGTTGTCAACTGAGCGCTTCGCCAAAATAAAGGTCCAGTCCACCAGCAACCAAAAATTGCCACCTGGTGAGCTGGATATATCTGACAAAATGAATGGTCCAAATGCCAGACAGGGAACGATGCTACAGAACGACATGACCAAAAAAACATCCAGAGCATGTCACACAAACGACGCGACTAGATTGATCCGACATTGTCGCGTTAATTAATTTTCTTCTGAGTCTTCCGTAGCCGCTCCGTCTGAGATCCCAGGCAGCAGCGCTGTGAGCAGCTACCTTGTGATCCAAGACACCACGTAGGCTGAAGCAGGTCAGAGAGATGTTTTTTCATGTTTTTTCCGCATCTGAGAAATTCGCGACTTCAGAGCTTCACTTCGCTTCACATATTTAAAAAAAAAAACTGTTTAACTGTTTAACCATCTGGTTTAACCATCTGTTCATGGGGCCCACCCTGAACAGCCCATGCGGCAGGCACCGGCAAATCTGGAGGCCAAACTATGAGTCCGTGATATGGCTTTGAGCGTCGCAGGCGCTTAGACCCAAACCAGATTCCTCGAAGACCTCCTGAAAGGCCAAAATGGTGAGGAGGATTATGAGCAAGCCCTGAGCGACTGAGCAACATGAACTGCGCGGCGTCTACATTGGCTGATTCCTACGCATCAACATCATCAACACCATGTTTACAGTAACTTTTCACAACTTCTACGTCCATCCGGTACACCCCTTGGTGCCCCTTTGGGCCCGCTTGGTGCCCCCTGCCCAAATCACATCCACGACGATCTCAAGGGCATTGTGCCAGACTTGGGTTTGCAAAGGCCGCACTTCCATCAGAGGCCTTGGGCCAATGTTGCAATGTTCAGAACAGTTCTAGCCTCAAGTTGCCAGGCTTCCAACCGTCAACAATCAAAGTAGCTGTAAGAACTATTCAGGCACAGAATCTGTCTAAATACGTGGTCCGGCGCTCATGGCCGTATGGTTTCGTTCATCATGTTGACTTTGATGCACTTTGATCAATGGTGAAGCGATAAAATCCCCACGCAGGCCATTCAAAGTGGACATGTAATTTCAAAGTTGCATGCTATCATCTTTGCGGTTCCCTTTGTGGCATCCAAAAAACTACTTGACATTTTAAGGTGTTGTCTTGGTCAACGCAGCGGCGTTGGGCATGCGGTTTTGTTTTTCATCTTTCGCGTGCTCGCAATCCACGAGCGTAGCATCAAGTACGTGGTACAAGATGTCTCAAGGAACGTTATTACCCCCCACCCACCCCAACCATCCCACACATCTAATATGGCAACATGTATGCGCGTCACCCCGCCCTACCCCAACCCCTTCAAACAAAAACAACACACAAAACAACAAAGAAAAATTGCGTTTCGTGGCGTCGAGATATTCAAAATTTACAAAAAAAACGCTCACGCTGTGACGCCAGACACGTGATAAAGCAAAAATAATGTTTCGTTACGCGGCCTTCTACGCGCACCCAGCCAAATACGTGCTCCGGCTTCGCTTCCAAAACCCCACTTGCCTACCCCCAGTCTGTATCATTCCATATTAGTTTTCAAGACATGACACTTCCATACACTTCCCAGATTGTGTCCGTGTGAATGATGGTGAATGATGGTGAATGATGGTGAATGATAAGAGATTTGAGGCTCCGGCTGCACAAGTCCACCACGAACAAAGTTGATCTTCAACTGTCAATGTGTAGACAGCGTAGACTCTGGGCATGCTCTCCACATCTCTCCACATCTCTCCACATCTCTCCACCAAATTCATCAAATTTCCACGTCACATCCAGAGAAGCTACCAAAACCATTTGCGGCGTTACCAAACCGATTGAATATGTTCGGATATATCATATATCTGCTAGAGTGCTAGACCTGCAATAGCTACAGCAGCGTCATCTCGGGCTTGAAAAGGAAGCAATCGTCAAAGTATCAAAGTAGTGGCGTTTCTAAGTGGCCGCAACATCATAAAAGTTCCACAAAAGAAAGCTCGAAAGCTCGAAAGCTCGGCTGAGTTTTGAGTTTTAAAGTTTTTCATTTCAGCAATTTCAGCAAGGTACATCTGCGAATCTGCGATGGCCTGGAGATGGATGTAGCTACCGATGTCCGGATTCAGCAAGGTGCAGGAGATCTGAGCCCCAGGGCTGTAAAAACATGAAAACACATGAAGCATCTCGTAGCATCTCGTAGCATCTGGTATCATCTGGTAGCATCGCTATGCATCACCATCATGTCGCCTGCATCAAAACACCTTCATCATATCCACGAAACCCATGTGAATGTCTGTGACAAGAGGACAAGAACCCCCGAACAAACTGCCACAAAATGCCGATGCCTTTTCCAAAGGCACAGCAGGATACAAGATTAAATGCACCCAACATTTTACCAACCAAAATCGGTTCTGCGGCATGCAGCCGCTGGAAAATTAAGTCAGAACATCTTGTAGGAACCACTAAGCAACTGGCAAAAGGCTCAAAAAAAGCATCTACAAAACACAGCAAAACACCTACTCTGCAGGTTTTGCTTTTGTATACTGTTTCCAGCATAAAGCAGCTCCGCCTGAGTCATTTAAGATACAAACATCCCAGAGACAAAGCAAAACGTATCAAGAAATCAAATAAACACAGAAAATCCATTATCCGACCTAAAAGCTATGATTTTGAAAAATGTGTACTTTGCGCTGTGGCAAATTTTGTATAGAAATTAGACAGAAACGGACATAAAAAGACAACACGACATTTTTCAGACACGTCTGACGTCTGTCCCTTTTGGGGTTTCAGAGTCTCCACCTGCAACGCGTCTGTGGCGTCATCGATCCACTGTAGCCGCTGCAGCTCCTGCGCCCTCAGAATGCCTTGCAACGACTGCAGTCTCCAAGGCTGACAAAGAAAGAATACAAACAACGAATACAAAGATTTTCAAAAGATTGCAGAATTTCACAGACTGCTCAGACTGCTCAAACTGCTCCACAGTCTGAAAACGAAGGCCTTCTATTTGACTGGAATCATTCTGCAGGCGCGAAATCTAGGCGGAAAATCAAAAAGACAATAGATCTCATGAAATGAGCAAGGACAGCAATTCCAAGCAATGCCTGTTTTGAAGTTTGGCAGAATTGAGTTTGGCACTCTGAGGAATGCGAAGAAAAGCTCCTGCAAATGTTTTGAAATCTTTGGACACTCAGGGAATAGAAGAGAATACGAGAGAATTGGAAGAGAAAAAAGAACATTATAGAACATTGGAAAATCTGAAAGAGAAATAAAGAGAATACGTCTTTTGGTGTCTGCGAATTAATGGATTGCTCTTCGAAGCGTTTGGCCTCTGCCGGATCGTTCAATGCCATGGATGCAACCTGGACTTCCCAAGCATTTGCCCCTCAAAATCTCAAAAAGCATTCTCCAACTTATCACAAGCTGTCATGGCTCCGAAAACACCAGATTTGCCGCAAATGACTGCTAGAACTCTCCACGCCAAAATTCGTATGATGCATTGGTGACACGGAGGACTTGACATGACCTAAAGTCTGCGAAGTGAACCTCAATGCCACCGCCAGCGATGAAGGAACGGTCTACCGCAGCTCCAGTGTTGTTCACCTGCAAATGTTGGAACCTGTTCCTCTGGCCTCTGATCTTCGCATTAAAGAAAGCACAACGTCTCTTGTTATGTCTGGCTGCAACATCTATGAAATATATTGAAATATGCACTGAACATCTGTACTCTGTGAATACTGCCCACTGCCTCAGGGCCAAATCTGCTTGGCAACCGCTCAGAAGTTCGGCACTCTGCCCTGAGGTCAACGACCACAAAAAGCTGAGCTTACACGTGCTGCCGCGGCACTTCCAAGAATCATTTGAGATTCCAGAAAGTATTGGAGATTACGAATACAAATCGAAGCTCGGCAATAACGTAAAGATGATGTGACAGAATGTAATAAGTGAAAAGTATGCTCAGACTGTGAGCTCCAAGGTTTCTGTTGCTTCTCACAGGACCTTTTCGTTTGTCAAAGGCCTGAAATACTCTCGCAATTCCTCGACCACAGGGCAATCGCCACCTCTCAGTGATTGCTTGCTACTTTGCTTCCATTTTACAGCCATTCGGTTTGAGTTGCAAGGGTGCACACAGTGTGTACAAAATGCCTCAGTGACAAACTTAGTGACAAACTTAGTGACAAACTTAGTGACAAACTTAGTGACAAACTTAGTGACAAACTTAGTGACTTTAGATGACTTTAGCCTGCAGAAAAACACAGCATTCTGCGCATATGACATTCTGTGGCTCAATGCTTGCCTCAATTCTGTGAATTCTGTGCACTCTACGCCTGAGACTCGCTTTTGCCGCAGCTGGATGCCGGGGCGAATGACCTCTCCCAAACTACAAGCGGAAAGCAAAGATACAGAGTAAGAATGAGCAAGATATTAACACTATTTAACAATGGTGTTACATTGGGATCCATTAGATAGAAATTCTTTGTGGATCTTTCTGGGCATGTCTTGCATTCTCGACGTCCCACTCAAATAGTGACGTGTTTGACTCGGCTGCAAGCATCGTGCAACTCCCGATTTTGTTCAGAACACGATGTGCAAACTCCAAAATCTCCAAACAAACTGCTGAAGTGCGAGCTCCGTATGTTCACAGTTCAGGATCGCAGTCATCCCTCAGCCATCTCACAGTCCCACACCGCTCCTGGTTAAACTTCCGGACCACACCGGGCTCTTCGTTGCTTCCAGCGATTAGAGGTACAAATCCATGGATCAACCAAGTCCACACCTGTCATGCACGAAATGTGCAAAATGTACAACACATTGGCTTCCAAAATCTGCAAAAACAGCGACAGCTCAAGAGAAAGGTGAACAATGGCATTCAATGGCATTATTGCTTTGTCTGGTTTCTTTGAGCCCGCAAGAGAAGGGCAGGAGTGGACTCAACATCCACTCAAGTCCAAAGCCGACGTTCGTTCACCGGCAATTGGCTTTATTATTGGCTTTATTATATTTTATATTATTTTATCATGATATGCCGATATGCCATGATATGCCCAGCCACGGCCTCATCTGCACTGCTTATATTGTGAAGACGTATCCTGGAAAGTGACTAATTTGCAGTTTTTCTCACAGCATCACCGTTTCCAGTGCTTTTGGATCCTTAATTATGCAATGCAGTTTGAATTCTTTCTTCAAAACGTTGTTCAGGACTTTGAGTTTAAGCACAAGGGAAATGCCACACAAATCGCCAGCATTGCTCACATCCAATTCACATCCCTGCTCTCCTCTTCACAACAGCTTGCCCCTGCAACATAGAGATCTGGTGGCTCACCTTCAAAGGCGTCACTACAGATCTCTTTGAACGCCAAACTGGTCCGAAGATCAAGCCGCGGTAAACCTTCGGCAAATATATGTACATTTTCTATCCTTTTTAATTCCTTTTTATCATCTCCAGAATATCAATTGTACATATTGTACATCACTGTGATTGATTTTTAGTCGAACATACGCAGTCATTCTGTTTCTCGCCTATCTCACCCAATAGCCATGCTCGCTCGAGGTCTATGCACACTTATGATTGGATTTGCTTCCCTGCCATAGTGATAGAACCATCTTACGGTAACATTTATGCAAGATTGTGCCGTATCTTTTTGCATTGGGTCCATGAAACCTCAACAGCAGATACGAAATCATGAAACCCTTGCCCCCTCTACCCCACCCCCCGACCCTCCCTCAAACTGTTACCCATCCTCAAAAACTTCAGCAAAATGTTGTTTTTTTTTGTGTAAGGAAAACATGTACGAGCATCCATACGGATAAATGCCTGTCTTGTCTCCACGCGTAAACATTCAAGGTAAGGGAACATGCACTGCATCATTGTTGCACCTCAATCCGGTCAATGGACTCCCTGATGACACTTTGTGCACGGCTAGTTCGCTCAACGTTGCCATGAGTCCTCAGAGACATTGAGACAGCGTGCGCACACAAGCTCAAACTGGCAAATGACAACTCAACAAAAACCGAAAACTGCACCATGAACATAGGTCTAAACATGTCAAAACCTTCTAATTTCAGACTTCAGCTGGCCAATTAGTTGTGCTGCAAGCAAAGAGTGAGGATGGTTCCAGGCAGTCAGTGTGAAGATGAACCAGATCTTGGTCGCGTCAAGTCATATCAAACAAATCCGAAAGAGTCTCTCAGAGTAGCATTAAGTGGACATTGAGTAGGCATCAAGTCAACGGCAAAAAGGCATCAAGTAGCACTCTTCAATCCTCCAATCTTTCAATCGCAGGAGAGAAGGAAGACCTTCATCGTTTCAAAGCACTGACAGAAAAACCCGGGAACCGCACCAACAGTGTCAAGGGCAACGTTCCACAGAAGCGAACTCTATCCTGAATCACAGCAAGGTTGCTAAGGTCAATGTTGAACTAAAAAGTTGGCGAAAAAGTTAGCCAAGAGGTTTGACTGAAGGCTTTGAAGGTTTCGAAAGTCCGCAAAAATTGTGTGAGACTAAGAACGGCACCCTTTCTGACACCAGAAAATCATAGACCTGCTGTCTAGTCAGCGCCTGCCAAAGCTGTCAAATCATCTCCGTTCAGAGCTTAGCTGTGGCCCTGTGCCGAATGAAACGTTGACACTTTTGGACACTTTTAATGTGCGTTGTTCGCCTCGTCTTCCATCTGCTTCTCGGGTTGTTTGACCTCGATTCACATCCACTCGACTCTGCCAATAGGCGCGGATGCACATGGAAGAGATACGAAGAGATACCACCAACGACACAAAAACCATTGCTGTACTTGTCGTTCTCGTGTTCATGTCTCATTGCAATGGTCACAGCGCACACTGAGGCCAGCGCAGTGGCCTGTTGCCGCTCTTTGAGTTCGACGACAGGGTCGTCCTTCAAGGAACGAAAAGTCTCTGATATCACGCAAACATGTATGACGTGTATGTTCATGTATGTGGTACAATTTATCCATCTATCTATCTTTCTTTCTATCTATCTATTTATCCGTCTATCTATCTATCTATCCATCTATCAAATCAAATCAAATCAATCTATCTATCTATCTTTCTTTCTATCTATCTATTTATCCGTCTATCTATCTATCTATC